TAGGTCTCCAAAAAATAACAGTCCTGAATCTCTGAACACACTTGATTATAGATACTTCATCCAAGACACCAAACTTTTTAAGTTATGCGCTATAATGGCCACTCTACCTCTCCGTCACTAAGCGTGGCCTACTCTAACGGGCGCCATTACCGGAATCATGAGGAACATGTTTTACTGATATGTAAAAACGCCTTGTACAAATAGTGTCATATAAGGGCAAACATTTGCAAATGTAAATGCTTTACTGTATTATGGTAGATTTATCAGCAGTAGTTATACCCTGTATTATAGTAGTATGTTTTCTGTTTAGGTTGGATTGGATTTATCAGCAGCAGTTATACCCTGTACATGTATTATAGTAGTATTTTCTCTGTTTAGGTTGGATCGGATTTATCAGCAGCAGTAGTGACTCATCCAGCGACTCGGATAACTCGGCTAGTGACTCAGAAGACGAGTCCAAAACAAACAATGGTGAGTACCTTTACACTTTGTTACCCAATATATCAACCCAACCAGTTTTCTTGATAGATTACAGATCACCTGTGTCTCATCATGTAGCTCTTCAAGGTTTTTTAGCTCACCTGAGACGAAGGCTCAAGTGAGTTTTCTGATCAAAATTTGTCCGTTGTCTGTCGTCGTTGTTGTCGTCGTTGTTGTAAACTTTTCACTTTTTTGTGACTTCTTCTCAAGAAACGCTGGGCCATTTTATACCAAACTTGCCACAAAGTATCCTTGGGTGAAGGGGATTCAAGAATGTTCAAATGAAGGGCCACACCCTCATTAAATGGGAGATAATTGGGAATTAATGAGAATTTGATGGCATATTTTAAAAATCTTCTTCTCAAGAACCACTGTGCCAGGAAAGATGAAACTTATGGGGAAGCATTCTCAGGTAGTGTAGATTCAAGTTTGTTCAAATCATGACCCCTGGGGGTAGGGCGGGGCCAAAATGGCCGACCAAAGTTTTACATAGAAATATATAGGTAAATTCTTTAAAAATCTTCTTCTCAAGAATAACAAAGCCATAATTCATCATATTTATATGGAAGCATGCTCAGGTAGTGTAGATTCAAGTTTGTTCAAATCATGACCCCCGGGGGTAGGGCGGAGCCAAAATGGCCGACCACAGTTTTACATAGAAATATAATGGAAAATTCTTTAAAAATCTTCTTCTCAAGAATGACAAAGCCATAATTCATCATATTTATATGGAAGCATGCTCAGGTAGAGTAGATTCAAGTTTGTTCAAATCATGACCCCCAGGGGTAGGGCAGGGCCAAAATCGCTGACCAAAGTTTTTAAAGATATATATTGGAAAATTCTTTGAAAATCATTTTCTAAAAAATAGCAAATCCTTGATTGGTCATGGGATTACTTTTGGATTTAAACTTTACAATAAAAAGCCATTTTCTACTTTTTCCTACCCTTAGTGCTCAGGTGAGCGATGTGGCCCATGGGCCTCTTGTTTTATTTGTCAAGTGTCCACCTTCAAATCAAAATAATCTTTCAGTATATGAAGAAAAAAATTAAACAAATCAAAAGGGGAAAACACAGAGTTTTTTTTGGGGGGGAGGGGGGGGGTGTACCTGTATGATGGAATAGTTATTTTTAGATTGTTTTCTGATGTGGAGATTTTATTTCGTTACAGAGAAATCAGGGCAGGGTTTGTTGGGGGTTATCTGTGTGATGTAATAGTTATTTTTAGTTTTATTTGGTTACAGATAAATCAGGACAGGGTCTGTTTGGATCCCAGCCTCTCTATCAGTCAGTCCCTCCTGTTATCTGTGTGATGTAATAGTTATTTTTTAGTTTTATTTGGTTACAGATAAATCAGGACAGGGTCTGTTTGGATCCCAGCCTCTCTATCACTCAGTCCCTCCTGTTATCTGTGTGATGTAATAGTTATTTTTAGTTTTATTTGGTTACAGATAAATCAGGACAGGGTCTGTTAAGTTCCCAGCCTCTCTATCAGTCAGTCCCTCCTGTTATCTGTGTGATGTAATAGTTATTTTTAGTTTTATTTGGTTACAGATAAATCAGGACAGGGTCTGTTAAGTTCCCAGCCTCTCTATCAGTCAGTCCCTCCTGTTATCTGTGTGATGTAATAGTTATTTTTAGTTTTATTTGGTTACAGATAAATCAGGACGGGGTCTGTTAAGTTCCCAGCCTCTCTATCAGTCTGTCCCTTCTGTTACCTGTGTGATGTAATATTTATTTTTAGTTTTCTTTGGTTACAGATAAATCAGGACAGGGTCTGTTAAGATCCCAGCCTCTCTATCAGTCAGCCCCTCCTGTTACCTGTGTGATGTAATAGTTATTTTTAGTTTTATTTTGTAACAGATAAATCAGGACAGGGTCTGTTAAGATCCCAGCCTCTCTATCTGTCAGTCCCTCCTGTTACCTGTGTGATGTAATAGTTATTTTTAGTTTTATTTGGTTACAGATAAATCAGGACAGGGTCTGTTTGGATCCCAGCCTCTCTATCAGTCAGTCCCTCCTGTTACCTGTGTGATGTAATAGTTATTTTTAGTTTTATTTGGTTACAGATAAATCAGGACAGGGTCTGTTTAGATCCCAGCCTCTCTATCAGTCAGCCCCTCCTGTTACCTGTGTGATGTAATAGTTATTTTTAGTTTTATTTGGTTACAGATAAATCAGGACAGGGTCTGTTTAGATCCCAGCCTCTCTATCTGTCAGTCCCTCCTGTTACCTGTGTGATGTAATAGTTATTTTTAGTTTTATTTGGTTACAGATAAATCAGGACAGGGTCTGTTTAGATCCCAGCCTCTCTATCAGTCAGTCCCTCCTGTTACCTGTGTGATGTAATAGTTATTTTTAGTGTTATTTGGTTACAGATAAATCAGGACAGGGTCTGTTTGGATCCCAGCCTCTCTATCAGTCTGTCCCTTCTGTTACCTGTGTGATGTAATATTTATTTTTAGTTTTATTTGGTTACAGATAAATCAGGACAGGGTCTGTTAAGATCCCAGCCTCTCTATCAGTCAGTCCCTCCTGTTACCTGTGTGATGTAATAGTTATTTTTAGTTTTATTTGGTTACAGATAAATCAGGACAGGGTCTGTTTAGATCCCAGCCTCTCTATCTGTCAGTCCCTCCTGTTACCTGTGTGATGTAATAGTTATTTTTAGTTTTATTTGGTTACAGATAAATCAGGACAGGGTCTGTTTGGATCCCAGCCTCTCTATCAGTCAGCCCTTTCTGTTACCTGTGTGATGTAATAGTTATTTTTAGTTTTATTTGGTTACAGATAAATCAGAACAGGGTCTGTTAAGATCCCAGCCTCTCTATCAGTCAGCCCCTCCTGTTACCTGTGTGATGTAATAGTTATTTTTAGTTTTATTTGGTTACAGATAAATCAGGACAGGGCCTGTTTGGATCCCAGCCTCTCTATCAGTCAATGTACACTTATTTAATGACTACGAGGTAAACAGTCAAAATGTTGTCCCGAGGCCTTCGGCCTTGGGCAACAGTTTCCCAGGTCTACCCCACTACCGAGGGACAACATTTTGACTGTCTCACCGAGTAGTCATTGAATAAGTGTTTTATTACCTAACCTACTATATAATTAATTAAATTGGAATAAAAACACACAAACAATCAATAAAAAGTTTTCACAACTGTTTATTCACATACTTGTCTATTAATTAGCTGAACACATAATATAAAGATTAAATTAATATTTTTAATTTAAAGTTATACTTAATAAATGGATTGTTTGTGTGTTTTATTTAAATTTGATTAATTATAGAGCAGGTAAATAGTGATGTCGTGATCATCAAAACGCTTGAATATCACGATGACGCTTTAAACAGTCAACAGTTCATTCTGTGGACCGGTCAACAGTTCACTGTTTCATGATCACGCAAAAACATAAAGTAAACCGTGAAACAGTTCAAAATGCCTAATTATAATTTATATAGTAGGTTAGGTAATAATCCCTCCTGTTACCTGTGTGATGTAATAGTTATTTTTAGTTTTATTTGGTTACAGATAAATCAGGACAGGGTCTGTTTGGATCCCAGCCTCTCTATCAGTCAGTCCCTCCAGCCTCCAACATCTTGGGTAAGTCTAAAACAACTCACTTCTGATATATATATCATGTGTACCAGTAAGTGTTTAACACCTGTTAACAACAACAACAACCCCCCCCCCCACACACACACACACACTCTCACACTCCACCCCCAATAAAATCCTTAAAGTTTAACACAGAACTCAGTGTATGTAATGCATGGTTATGCTGCATTTTCACCAAAGCTCAGTCTTTGCAAGTAATTTTATCTTACTTACAGTGTTCCAGCTAGGGGGAAATAGAGGAGCGTTGCGCCCCGCCCTCAAATCAGTGCGCCCCTCTGCCCAATTCAGGCGCCCCTGTGTCCCTTGTGAGTGACCATTTTCATTCTGACTGTCCTTTTAACTCATTATAATAATGAGTGTGTCCCAAGCCAGATTACGTAAGGCTAATCAACAGTTCACACCTCATGCCAGAGACGATTACGTAATGAACTCGCACTACGGTACCTATAAACTGCACACACTTTCAATTACAGGTGATTAGGTAATTACTTTGATCATTTGACAGCCTGAATAAGGGTTAAAGGCTAAAATATACTTTGAGAATGACCATGCTATCTGTTTTAATCTAAAACAAGAGTCTTGTTCTATAGCGTTCTAAAAATAAATTAGAAAGTGAAAGTAGCATGAACAATGACCTTCAGCATTCTAAATGTGAATTGTAGACGTTTTGAATGAAACAATGATGGAATTTAATATCCTAATAACAAAGAAATATGTATAAGTAATTTTTTTTCACTCTGGAAGAGATTTTCAGCTATTATATATGTAATTGTTTTCATGTCATATGGCAGGCTGAAGTTTAAAATCTTAGTATCTATATACCACTCATATTATTTTAAGTAAAACAAACAAAACAGATGGTTGACATATTAAGTTGTAAGTCTGATAACAACTAAATAAATAATATAAGAAAATGTTATTTATGACTAAAAATATTGTAACTATATATTTTAAATTGTTTGCCAAATACAAACTTAAGCAATTTTGAATTCAGTAATTACATATTGTACAGTCATGTAGATCTTCATGTACTGTAATATTAAATGTGAGACAACAGATAGTTTACATGAATTATTATATGAACAACATTCTATTTCTAATCAGGAATAGAAAATGATTGTAATCGATGGAAGAAAAGTCACATTTATCCTAATTAAGATATTACCTTTCAATTAGAATTTATGTATATTGTTACAATAATAGCTAAAGTTAGTTATCAATAAGGTTAAACAAATAAATCATATTTAAAGGAACTATATATTCATTATAAGGGTGAAGAAATGAGATACGCTTATGTACAGGATGTAAGAAAAACTTGCGACAACGGTATCACCGTATGTCGCGAAAAAGTGCCCTTCTCTTGCACCCCTCCATTTTCAGATCCTAGCTGGAACACTGTACTTTCTATTCAATGCCAAGGAAATGATCCGAAATCCATTTGTATTGGTTAAGGGAGGGGCACAGCGCCCCCCCCCCCCTACTTATTTTGAAATACTTTTGAAAAAAAAAGCTACTTCATGCTTGAGCCCCATCAATAATAGCATCTGATGACCTTCGATTTTGCATTTCAAGGAATTTTTGGTTGTTAAACTTGATAGTGCCTCTAACTGATAATGTTTAATTGTGTCCCCCCTCCCCCCAAGTTAATTTGCTTCCTTCGAGTTTGAGCAAATGAATGAATTAATTTTCTTGCTTTATATACAGGTAAAGATCTGGAACTGAGTGACGATGATAGCGAGAGTGATTGACAGGCAGGGAATTCTGGGAAGGATTGGAAAAGTGGAATTCTGGGAATATTGGGAGAAGTTATTGACATTGTTGTCATAGAGGACTCCCAGTACTGCTTTACATGGAAAACGTTCTTATGTTGTTGCTTTATACACAATGTAAGGGTAGTGTCACTAGTGTGTTATTACTGAGTGATAGGAAGTTTGGAAGAATGGTACTGTAAAGTTAAACCAACTTTTTTTGGCGTGCGAGAATTTTTTGCGAGGTTCAGGAGTCTTGTCATCGGGAATATTCCTATTAATCAGTCCTTAAAGTCTCTCTCTTTTAACAACACTTCCAAAAAGGCTTTGATTGCAAAAATTTATTATGGCGAACTAGTTTCACCCTGGTTAAAAGTCGTCACGATTAAAAGTTGTTTTTTAGTATGTTACAATACAAATTGTTTTAGCAATACAAAGGTATTATACTAATATTATAAATTATATTTTTGCATTATTACATTTTGCATTTTAACAATTGTAAAAAAAAAAATCAAAAAGGCAATATTTGGGGCAGTTTTACTCTCACAACAGTCTTATCTAGTCCATATTAACTGACTCCATTTTAATGTACATATTAGACTTTCTTATGTTATGAGATAAGCATATGGAGAACATTGAATTGATACTGTGATGCACATCATCTTGATTTATCTTTAGGCTCAAATAGAAAAAAAAATCGTTTAAGATTTTGATCTTTTTAATACCTCTTGAAAAAGATCTTGGACACATATGATTATTAAAACTAATTAAGTTTAAATGGAATATTCCCTTCATTAAATTGTACATTTATTTTTTGTGTGTTTTGCACTTTTGATGGGCTGAAAAAAATTTTATATAAAAGGAAATTGTTTAATGTTAACCTAGCTCACACAGCAAATTTTACAGGATACCAACACAGTGATTTTGTCAAAACTGTGATAGTACAGATGAAAAAAAAATGCTTTTTGGTTCTCAAATTAAGCATTCAAATTCTGTACAATTTGTACAACCCTTACAATGACAAATATTTCACAGTTTTATTTTATGCCATTTTTGATTGAAAATATACATATGTATGTTTACGACATGTTGTTTTTTTTTAAATCTGCTCCCCTCCCCCAAACTAAATTGTCCATCTTTTTGCAAATCTTTAAAATGTGTGTCAGGTGGTATATGCTCGTTCAATGTCTTTCACGCATCAATTGTTTTATATTTTTGTGACAGGTTTTCTTGTTTTCCTTGAAATAAAGCGATGAAATGTAGCGAGTCCAGTTGATGTGTGTACGTATAATGGGTATGGGTCAAGTTTTCCAGGTTTAAAATTTTACTATCGTTGTGGTCATGAATTCAAAGGTCTCTTCATACTTTGAAAACAATGAAAATTAATTCCCCAATAAGATAAGTGATTTAACAATATATTCCTTGTCAAAAGGCTAATAATAAGGATGGCATCAATGGTTATTAATAGCAACTGGTGATTATATGCTCAACAAAGAACGCATGTCGTTTTACTCATCATAGAAATTTTGAAGAAGTATATGGAGCAACTATGTTTTTTATCATATGCATTGGATACCTTTGACCTATTTAAAGGACAACATGGGCTTTAAAAACCCAAGTTTTGAAAAATTTCCCTTGATTAATCCTGTTTATGAAAATAGTGATTACATGATTTCTTGTACATCAATCGGTTTTGCGGCGGTGAAACACATATCTCTACCAGCTTGGAACACGCATGACAGACCAAGACTGGTTGTTTGCGGGTAATCACACCAACACACTGTACCTATATATCATGACTATCTGTTATAGAATCCCACTGTACCTATATCATGACTGTAACAGAATCCCATTGTACCTATATCATGACTATCTGTAATAGAATCCCACTGTACCTATATCATGACTGTAATAGAATACCACTGTACCTATATCATGACTGTAATAGAATACCACTGTACATGTACCTATATCATGACAATCTGTAATAGAATCCCACTGTACCTATATCATGACTACCTGTAATAGAATCCCACTGTACCTATATCATGACTGTAATAGAATCCCACTGTACCTATATCATGACTACCTATAATACAATCCCACTGTACCTATATCATGACTATCTATAATAGAATCCCACTGTACCTATATCATGACTGTAATAGAATCCCACTGTACCTATATCATGACTTTCTGTAATAGAATCCCACTGTACCCATATCATGACTGTAATAAAATCCCACTGCACCCATATCATGACTGAAATAGAATCCCACTGTACCTATATCATGACAACCTCTAATAGAATCCCACTGTACCTATATCATGACTGTAATAGAATCCCACTGTACCTATATCATGACTACTTGTAATAGAATCCCACTGTACCTATATCATGACTGTAATAGCATCCCACTGTACCTATATCATGACTGTAATAGAATCCCACTGTACCTATAGCATGACTATCTATAATAGAATCCCACTGTACCTATATCATGACAATCTGTAATAGAATCCCACTGTACCTATATCATGACTGTAATAGAATCCCACTGTACCCATATCATGACTGTAATAGAATCCCACTGTACCTATATCATGACTGTAATAGAATCCCACTGTACCTATATCATGACTATCTGTAATAGAATCCCACTGTACCTATATCATGACTATCTGTAATAGAATCCCACTGTACCTATATCATGACAACCTGTAATAGAATCCCACTGTACCTATATCATGACTATCTGTAATAGTATCCCACTGTACCTATATCATGACTATCTGTAATAGAATCCCACTGTACCTATATCATGACAACCTGTAATAGAATCCCACTGTACCTATATCATGACTATCTGTAATAGAATCCCACTGTACCTATATCATGACTGTAATAGAATCCCACATTTCCTTTATCATGACTATCTGTAAAAGAATCCCACTGTACCTATATCATGACTGTAATAGAATCCCACTGTACCTATATCATGACTGTAATAGAATCCCACTGTACCTATATCATGACTGTAATAGAATCCCACTGTACCTATATCATGACTGTAATAGAATACCACTGTACCTATATCATGACTGTAATAGAATCCCACTGTACCTATATCATGACTATCTGTAATAGAATCCCACTGTACCTATATCATAACTATCTGTAATAGAATCCCACTGTACCTATATCATGACTGTAATAGAATCCCACTGTACCTATATCATGACTGTAATAGAATCCCACTGTACCTATATCATGACTGTAATAGAATACCACTGTACCTATATCATGACTGTAATAGAATCCCACTGTACCTATATCATGACTATCTGTAATAGAATCCCACTGTACCTATATCATAACTATCTGTAATAGAATCCCACTGTACCTATATCATGACTGTAATAGAATCCCACATTTCCTTTATCATGACTATCTGTAATAGAATCCCACTGTACCTATATCATGACTGTAATAGAATCCCACTGTACCTATATCATGATTACCTGTAATAGAATCCCACTGTACCTATATCATGACTGTAATAGAATACCACTGTACCTATATCATGACTGTAATAGAATCCCACTGTACCTATATCATGACTATCTGTAATAGAATCCCACTGTACCTATATCATGACTGTAATAGAATACCACTGTACCTATATCATGACTGTAATAGAATCCCACTGTACCTATATCATGACTATCTGTAATAGAATCCCACTGCACCTATATCATGACTGTAATAAAATCCCACTGCACCCATATCATGACTGAAATAGAATCCCACTGTACCTATATCATGACTACTTGTAATAGAATCCCAATGTACCTATATCATGACTGTAATAGAATCCCACTGTACCTATATCATGACTGTAATAGAATCCCACTGTACCTATATCATGACTACTTGTAATAGAATCCCACTGTACCTATATCATGACTGTAATATATTCCCACTGTACCTATATCATGACTATCTGTAATAGAATCCCACTGTACCTATATCATGACTATCTGTAATAGAATCCCACTGTACCTATATCATGACTGTAATAGAATCCCACTGTACCTATATCATGACTGTAATAGAATCCCACTGTACCTATATCATGACTACTTGTAATAGAATCCCACTGTACCTATATCATGACTATCTGTAATAGAATCCCACTGTACCTATATCATGACTATCTGTAATAGAATCCCACTGTACCTATATCATGACTGTAATAGAATCCCACTGTACCTATATCATGACTGTAATAGAATCCCACTGTACCTATATCATGACTACTTGTAATAGAATCCCACTGTACCTATATCATGACTATCTGTAATAGAATCCCAATGTACCCATATCATGACTGTAATAGAATCCCAATGTACCTATATCATGACAACCTCTGATAGAATCCCGCTGTACCTATATCATGACTTTCTGTAATAGAATCCCACTGTACCCATATCTTGACTATCTGTAATAGAATCCCACTGTAGTTCTATCATGACTGTAATAGAATCCCACTGTACCTATATCATGACTACTTGTAATAGAATCCCACTGTACCTATATCATGACTGTAATAGAATCCCACTGTACCTATATCATGACTATCTGTAATAGAATCCCACTGTACCTATATCATGACTATCTGTAATAGAATCCCACTGTACCTATATCATGACTGTAATAGAATCCCACTGTACCTATATCATGACTGTAATAGAATCCCACTGTACCTATATCATGACTACTTGTAATAGAATCCCACTGTACCTATATCATGACTATCTGTAATAGAATCCCACTGTACCTATATCATGACTATCTGTAATAGAATCCCACTGTACCTATATCATGACTGTAATAGAATCCCACTGTACCTATATCATGACTGTAATAGAATCCCACTGTACCTATATCATGACTACTTGTAATAGAATCCCACTGTACCTATATCATGACTATCTGTAATAGAATCCCAATGTACCCATATCATGACTGTAATAGAATCCCAATGTACCTATATCATGACAACCTCTGATAGAATCCCGCTGTACCTATATCATGACTTTCTGTAATAGAATCCCACTGTACCCATATCTTGACTATCTGTAATAGAATCCCACTGTAGTTCTATCATGACCGTAATAGAATCCCACTGTACCTATATCATGACTATCTGTAATAGAATCCCACAGTACCTATATCATGACTTTCTGTAATAGAATCCCACTGTACCTATATCATGACTATCTGTAATAGAATCCAACTGTACCTATATCATGACTGTAATAGAATCCCACTGTACCTATATCATGACAACCTATAATAGAATCCCACTGTACCTATATCATGACTATCTGTAATAGAATCCCACTGTACCTCTATCATGACTGTAATAGAATCCCACTGTACCTATATCATGACTGTAATAGAATCCCACTGTACCTATATCATGACTATCTGTAATAGAATCCCACTGTACCAATATCATGACTGTAATAGAATCCCAATGTACCTAAATCATGACTACCTGTAATAGAATCCCACTGTACCTATATCATGATTATCTGTAATAGAATCCCACTGTACCTTTATCATGACTATCTGTAATAGAGTCCCACTGTACCTATATCATGACTGTATTAGAATCCCACTGTACCTATATCATGACTGTAATAGAATCCCACTGTACCTATGTCATGACTGCAATAGAATCCCACTGTACCTATATCATGACTATATTAGAATCCCACCGGTACCTATATCATGACTATCAGTAATAGAATTCCACTGTACCTATATCATGACTATCTGTTATAGAATCTCACTGTATCTATATCATGACTATCAGTAATAGAATTCCACTGTACCTATATCATGACTGTAATAGAATCCCACATTTCCTTTATCATGACTATCTGTAATAGAATCCCACTGTACCTATATCATGACTATCTGTAATAGAATCCCACTGTACCTATATCATGATTATCTGTAATATAGAATCCCACTGTACCTATATCATGAGTGTAATAGAATCCCACTGTACCTATATCATGACTATCTGTATAAGAATCCCATTGTACCTATATCATGATTATCTGTAATAGAATCCCGCTGCACCTATATCATGACTGTAATAGAATCCCACTGTACCTATATCATGACTGTAATAGAATCCCACTGTACCTATATCATGACTGTAATAGAATCCCACGGTACCTATATCATGACTATCTGTAATAGAATCCCACTGTACCTATATCATGACAATCTGTAATAGAATCCCACTTTGCCTATATCATGACCAGACGCAGATTTAGGAATTGAAGTTAGAGGGGCGCCACACATCGGCAGGGGGTCCAAGGCAAAGCCTTGGTGGGGCCCAAGAGGGCGAAGCCCCCGGAAGCTCCTTGATTATAGAGATTTTTTGGGGTAAAAAAGAGGTCTACCAAGAAGACATAATTACA